GCTTCGCTCCAGGCTGGTTGGTTGGTTGGCATTGGCTGATCAGGTGTGTCTTTGCATCGATTCTCTCCAGGCTGATCATTGCCTGTCCAAGAGTTACGCTTACTTTTCCATTGCTTTAATCAATGGATTGCTTGCGCGCAGGCCCAGGGGATGCTGCCGCGCGTCTCGCGGTCCCTCTGTCTGGGATTCGGGTCGTCCCCACGCAGCCGAGATCCACGTCCTCTGTCGACGCAGTCCCCGCCTTCTCTGTCTTGGGGCGCTCGGGCCAGATCTCGTCGCCCATTACTCAGCAATCCTGGGACGCTCAGGTGTCGTCCGCTCGCGCAGAGCGGCACGGAGCTGTGCATCTTGGGTCGCGGTGTGCGGTCGGCCGCTGCGCCGGCGCACCGTGCGCTCAGTTGCGGGACCAGGCAACCCTTTGACGCTCAGGCGCCGTCCGCTCGCGCAGAGCGGCACGGAGCTGTGCATCTTGAGTCGCGGTGTGCGGTCGGCCGCTGCGCCGGCGCACCATGCGCTCAGTTGCGGGACCAAGCAACCCTGTGACGCTCAGGTGCCGTCCGCTCGCGCAGAGCGGCACGGAGCTGTGCATCTTGGGTCGCGGTGTGCGGTCGGCTGCTGCGCCGGCGCACCGTGCGCTCAGTTGCGCGAGCAGAGCGGCACGGAGCTGTGCATCTTGGGTCGCGGTGTGCGGTCCGCCGTCGCGCGGGCGCACGGTGCGCTGAGTTGCGCGACCAAGCAACCCTGTTTACGCTCAGGTGCCGTCCGCTCGGGCAGCGGCATGGAGCTATGCATCTCGGGTCGCGGCGTGCGGTCGGCCGCTGCGCCGGCGCACCGCGCGCTAAGCAACCCTTTGACGCTCAGGTGCCGTCCGCTCGCGCAGAGCGGCTTGGAGCTGATATTCTGATGTGCTTTCTGAGCTTCTCTTGTCTTGCCATTTTGTTCTCGCTTTTCCTTGCTTGTTGTTTTTCTCGCGCGCGGGCTTGGGTTGGTTTGGGCTGCATTTCTCGCGGTCCCTCAACGTGCTGGCCGCAATCCGCTCCCCTTCGGGGGGGTAGGTGGCTCTCCCTTGCGGAGACGCTGCCGTGGCCTGTGACAGATGCAGCACCCCCAAAAGAGCCACACTTCGTGGCATTGAAGTTTTTATCCTGCAGGCTCCGCGTCTGCCAAGTCTGGAGAGAGAAGGGGCGAAGCGGAAAAGCTAGCATTTTCGGGTGGCGGTGCACGGTCGGCTTCCTCGTCTGGGGGTCTGCGCGCACTGCGCATCCAGATGTCCCGAGCAACCCTGTGACGCTCAGGTGCCGCCCGCTCGCTCAGGGCGGCGTTGGAGCTAGCACTTTTGGGTGGCGGTGCATGGTCGGCTCCCTCGTCTGGGGGCCTGTGCGGACGCACTGCGCACTCAGATGTGCCCCGCAACCCTGTGACGCTCAGGTGCCGCCCGCTCGCTCAGAGCGGCGCGGAGCTAGCACTTTCGGGTTGCGGTGTACGGTCGGCTCCCTCGTTTGGGCGCACTCAGATGTGCCCAGCAACCCTGTGACGCTCAGGTGCCGCCCGCTCGCTCAGAACGGCGCGGAGCTAGCACTTTCGGGTTGCGGTGCACGGCCGGCTCGTGCATCCGGATCCTGCAACGCAGGTTTTCCCAAACTAACAAACTCCTCCTCGCTTCGCACAATTGGGGTTTTCGGGGTCGGATGTGCGCAGGCGGCAGAAGCTAGTCCTTGATGGGGGGGCATTGGCTAACCCCCCACCTGCACACAACGGGGGCGGGGGTGTGTTTGCCCGCCCCCGACCGACCCCGAGACCCTGCGTCCAATGGCGCACGTGGTCTAATGTCCATGCTGACGCCTTTTCACTAGCGTACTCAGAATTCAATTCGGGTGCGGCTCGTGGAAATCTGGCCCAGGAGGCTAGAAATTGATGCAGATTTCGGCGGAAATTTATCCATGTCGGATTTCGCAAATCGGCCGTACAGGTCGGATGTTTTTTCAAGACTGGCTCTAATCAGCCATTCCGCTGAGCTGCAGTCCACCGCCGAGGGCTGCAAGTAGCGGGGAACGTGCGTAAGCCTTCCCGCGAACCGTCCAGGAGGACAGCATCGCCCAAAACGGGCGCTCTACCATCCATCAATCAGTTACCCTCCATCCTTTCTCGTTGACTCGACAGCGAATGCGTGGGCGCAGCTGTGGCCGTGAACTGGAATAATAAAGATTCCTGACATGTCGTAGCAGACGCCGCCTGCCCGCCGATTGATGTGGGTGCAGCCACAGCTGCAAATTCGGAGCGGAGATGCTCAGTCTGATGGTGGGGTTTCCCTGTTGTCTGTACTGCCGCGCCCCTATGACGCCCTCTGCTGGCCTGGATGGTGCATTCAGGTCGCAGCGGGGGATAGGGGGCGGAAGGGTTCTTCCATAAACAGCAACTCGCCTCCAGCGCCGGTCACGTGTCGTGCGCCGCGGGCGCTCAGCCATTTCTGGCTAGTGCTTTCACATGAAGATATTCAATCGGAAGGACTGGCCATTGCTGGAGATCCTCGGGCCATATGCAACATCCTGCCAGTGGCCACAGCATGTGCAGCAGAGGGGACCCGTAAGCATTTGGGTTCGAGATAAGCTTCTGTCTCGCCCCCATGAGCGATAGGTTGGCTCATCTGCAAGCCTAGGTGCGCCATGCAAATCTATCTCTGACGTGGTGGGATGGCATTCGCGGTCTCACTCTACGGCTAGACAAACTACGTGAGCTTGGGGCGCGGCCCGACTTATTGGACACATGGCGAAATGGTCAAGCCTTGGGGGCTCAGCCAGCTGCGCCAGGGCATGTTCCCAACCACCCGTCGCTTGCTCAGAATGATTCGTGGGCGTTGGCCGAGTGGAACAGATTAGAGCAACTCGGAAAAGTCTTCCTATTTCCGCGCGGACAGCGCCCACCAAGTCTCAACATCAATCCTTGTGCCCTCCTGCTCAAGCCCAGGGAGGGTGTGGACAGCTCGCTCCCAGAAGAGGATCTACGGAAAGCACGTCTGATTTTGGATCTGCGGCGAGGTCGTGTGAATGAGCGGCTCCCGGAAGTTGGCGTTGCATACGGGACTTTGGACATGGCTGTGTCGCGCCTCCAGCGCGGCAGCTTTATGTTCGTCATCGACCTCCAGGATTGTTTCTTCAACTGGAGGGTCGACCCTGTCGACGCCGACCTCTTAGGATTTTATTGTCCAGCTCGCCGCCAATACGGCCGGTATGAATATCTGCCTTTCGGACTCGCTCCAGCTCCCGGCATGAACGATACCAGTATTAAGGAACTATTGCGTCTTCTTCGGTCCTCTCGCGAAGTGGACCTTCTTGATTTCGTGGACGACATGTTCGGAGAGGGACTCACTGAACAAATCGCATGGAACCGTTTGGAGTTGGCTGTGGATTTTTTTCGCTGAAGTCGGCGTCCCTGTCAGCAGCAAGCCTACGGGAATCCGGCCTCCGTGCACGCGTCAGTGCTGGATCGGATGGATATTCGATTCCATCAATGCGGTGGTTACGGTATCTCAGGACAAATGTGATAAGACATGCAAGGGCATCGCGGCTGTCTTGGAGCGCGACGATGCTCGCGAGCTCCGGGCCAAAGAGTTGTCGTCTGCGGCTGGTCTGGCTTCTCACTTGGGCGAGTTATATCCACAGGCAAGGCGTCGTCTACACCCTGTCTGGGCTGATCTCAACGCTGCAGGCGTGTACACGCTGTGGAGTCGCAGTCCTCAAGCTAATCCAGTGGTCCAGCTCTCTGAACTCAGCCGCAAAAACTTGGTGTGGAGTCTCCAAGCTCTGGCGTCTCCACCAAGGCGGGTGCTTCGCAATCTGGCCGGGCAGCTCAGCAACAGGGGCCACAAGTCGCCAGAATACGGCCGTTGGTCTCAGCTTGCCCAGGAAGGCTCCGTTCGCGTGGTCGAAACCGACGCGGCTGGACTGACAGGCTGGTCATATCACTTATGTCATTCGGGCGTCTCTGTGTCAGGTGTGTGGCCAAGTACATTGGCTGTGGACGAAGGCATACCGCTTGAAAAGATCGACATAAACTTTAAAGAGGTCTGGGTGATTGTGAAGTGCATCGAAGATCAGCCCGCCGCATTTGCAGGCTGGCGCGTCTTGTTCCGTACCGACAATACATGCGCAGTTCATTACACAAACGTGAGATATGGAGCCATCCCAACGTTGGAAAAGTTAGCAGCGAAACTGGAATCTGCTGAGCGGCGGGCCTCCTGCTGGGCTCTCGCGGCGCACATCAGCGGCGCAGCCAACAGAGCTGCGGATTTGGGCTCCCGGGATATGCAGTTCTCAGCGCGATGGAATTCCGACCCTTTTCGTACAGCATGTGTTAGGCCGCGAATTTTTGATGATATCGTGTCGCGGACGGGCGTGTGTTTCACACTGGATTTGTTTGCAGATCGTGCAGGCCTTACATCAAAGGCCCCGATTTGGCATTCGCCAGAAAATTCGGCATTCGAGGCAACTTTGGCTGGAGAGACGGTCTGGGCACACCCGCCGAGAGAGCTTCTCAGAGCAACGCTAGAGTTTCTCAACCACGCCCTCCAAGCACCGGAGGCGCCCAAGATTGTTCTCCTGCGCCCCGAGGATAGAGGCGCCCCGTGGTTCCGACCACAGCTGCTTCAGGCATGGCACCGGATTCGGTCGTGGCCTGCCGGCTCGGACCTTTTCAGGTACCCTTCGGGCTCTGCGTTCTGCAGCGGCCCGAAGACTGACTTGCCTTACTTGCTACTGCAGAGCTGGGAGCCAAACAGGCGCAAACGCAAGCGCGAGGAAAATGAACGCACATCCATTAGTGTGTCTTCGGGTTCTGCTTGTGACACATGAGACGTACGTTTGTGGGCGCTGACGGCGTCAGTTCTTTGCCTGCGTTCCCCAACTTAGCCCTCTTCGGCCGCAGCCGTTTCAGGTTCCCTCTAGTGATAACAATTGCAACGCAACGACCTGTTTTCGTTTTGTCCTAGTGTTTCCCACGGCACAATGGCGGAAGCAGCGGCGCAGGCAGCCATCGCTGCCGCCCTCGAGCCGACGGGCGCTATCATGACAGCGATCACTGCCGAGATCACGAAGGCGTTCAATCAAGGGGAGGTCGGCGATCTCGCCATCACAGCCGGCGCCACTGCTGCTGCCAACACGCACTCGGTGCCCGCTGTGGTTACGGCTCTCAAGGACCCGGCTTCTGAACTGAGCAAAGCTGTGCAGGCCGAGTGCGAGCGGCGGGCGGACGCGGCCTTTCCGTACAGGGCCCGTCTGCGCCAGCTTTCGGTCGCCGAGTGGGAAGCTGCTTGGCGCGACCTCGTGGTGGATGCGGACCACCTCGCGTCCACCTTGAAAGCTGCCGAGCAGAATCCCGCGCTTGCTAACATCTGGGCGCTGTCCGCCGCCAACCCAGGCAACGCCGAGTTGGCCGAGCTCAAGCGGGCTTCCACGGTGCGCTATGCCGCCAAGTTGCGGTGGAAAAGCTTGTGTTTCCCGGAGCAAGGCGGCTCTTGGGACCGGTTGAAGAACTACCTTACGGAGAAGGCGGATGCTCCGATCGACAATGTGAAGGCGCTCGCCCGGTCGCTCCTTGTCCTCCTCAACTTGACGGAGCGCCGCTGCACAGTCGTGCAGTCGGCCAACCGCACGGGCCCAGAGAAAGCGGCTTCTCAAAAGACCGCTCTTCTCCCATTGATGTACCATACGATCAAGCAGTACAAGAAGCGCACCACGAAGGCCACCGCATCAGTGCCCCTGGAGCACGAGATCCTGCTGCGCGATTTCGCCCAGGACCTCATCTTGGGCGAGGCGGCGCTGGTGACTAGCCTGGCTACCAAAAGGTCCTTCGACATCTCGGAGCTGTCGTCCGGCCAGGGGCTGTTCGAGGAAGAGGGGCAGCCGGCGGCGAAAGCCCAGCGTTCCTCAGGTGCTGGCCCTGGTGGCTCCTCCCCGGCAGGCGGCGGTGCTGCCAAAGACGCCGCCAAAGACCGGAAGCAGTTGGTCAGCCACCTCCTCAACGAGTTGTCGGCGCTGATCCCCAACAACCCCCCCAAGAAGCTCCAAGCGTGGATCGACAGGCAGTGCCAAGTCGATGATGCTCACCGCAGCGCTATGATGACGATCTTCAGCAATCACGTGTGTAAAAATTGTTTGATGGCAGGCAAAGGCATCGTGAAGCACACCCTGAGGAAGTGCCGCGAGCTCAAGAACCCGTGCCTCCTCCCGTGCACCAAGTGCACGGGCGCGGGTAGGACCACCAACGTCGTGCAGTGGATGGCAGATTGCAAGTGCTAGAGTGAGGTCCCAGCACCGCGTAGCCCGGGGCGGAAATTTGAAACCCCAAGGTTCGTCCCGTTCTAGCTTTTCTGACTCACGGTAGCCATCCTGCTCAGGGATACGCCCCCAGCAACTTTCATATTTCCTCCGTGCACGGCCTCTCGTGTACGTAACCTTTGCGAAATACAGCTCCATATTGCATCTCGTACGCTGCTCTGTTATTGCGACCGAGAGCGTGCCGAGACTTGTGAAAAATTGCCTCTATGGGGTGTCCGCTCACGTGTGCCGCTTCGTTCCCTCGTGAACGAGCTATTTATATCGCTTCTCCGTCGCCAGGGAGGCTCGAGTTATGGAAGACCACGTTCACAGGAATGATTTCGCAGACAATGTTCCCGTGGGCTCTTCCGCCGCTCGAGAGCTGATCCTGGCGCCCGTGGCTGTTGTGCGCGCGCCGGCGTCCCCTCGGCAGGGCGCGCGCCCGGAAGCGGTCGCCCTGGTGCACGCCGAGCCCCCTGACCCGCCGTTGCCTTCGCGGCGGCAAGCGGGAGTTAGCAGCGGCGGCGGCGGCTCGCAGACGCTCCTGGGTTTCATCGCCAACAGCAGGGCCGCACAGGGCGGTTCTCTTGTCCCACCGGACAGCCATGGCGATCGAAGGCTTCAGGGGCCTCAGCTGGAATTACCTTTTCTGGCAGAGGACTGCGCCCCGGCCACGCTCGTGGCGCGCCAAACAGCTGCTGCGTGCATACGCGAGTGCTTGGAAGCCGCTTGGGAACAGAGCACAAGGGTTCGCTACGACGCTACACTGCGGGGTCTGGTGAGCACGCGGGAGTTGGACACCAAGTTGCCGTTGCTCCCCTGCGATTCGGACGAGAAACTGATGCTCATCTTCTCGGCGCTCGTGCGGCGGCCCTGGGGCTCCGTCGCCGCAGCAAAAGCAGGCGTCCGAGCATGGCATATCGAAAGAGATCTTTTGCATACTTTCGAGCGGGCGTGGACGCCTCGGGCATGGCAGTTCTGGCGCGGATTGAAAAAGCTTGCAGACCATTCTTTGCGCCGTGCTAAGCGGCCATTATCTCTTGCAGAGTTGGGGGCAGTACAGCGCAAGCGTCTCGCACAGGTCTCTCCTGCAGGCATCCGGGACGCTGCTATGGCGGGGTTCGCCTTCTTTGGTATACGGCGTTTCGCAGAAGTCCAGGCACTTCAGCTCGAAGACATCGAAGATCAAGGCACGGCAATACAATGCCGGATCCGGCGCCAGAAAAACGACCTCTTCGGCGAGGGCTTGCTCGTCTGGATCCCCGAGCTACCGCCGCTCAGGCCCCTGTGCCCTGCGAAGCTGTTCCGGGCTTGGGTGTCCCAGAGGGCGGCGCTGCGGCAGGATGACACCGGCGTGCTGTTTTGTGTCACAGGCATAGCGGCCTTGAAACCAGTCTCTGCGGACTCATTCAGGCGCATGCTGTCCCGCCACATGCACGATTCGCAGATCGGCACGCACAGCCTGCGCAAGGGCGGCGCCCAGTGGTGGAAACACGCCGCTTCTCTGCCGGAGGAACTCGTGCAGGGCCAGGGCGGCCGGGCATCTCTGGACGCGATGCGGAATTTTTACACAGAATTCTCCGCACACGCTCGGAAGCAGCGCCTCCTGGAGGCAGCGCAGGCCGCGTGTTCAGCCACGCCTCGGCCGGCAGACAGCTTGCTTAATCTGAGCAGGCTCCCGGTTTGGCAGCGCCCGTTGTAGAGAACTGCCTTGATCGATCAGGACTGTAGAGGAAAATCTCGTGTCGAACTCCCGGCAGGTCAGGTGACCATATCTGCGTCGCGCTTCGCGCTTGCACTGTGCACTGTGGGCCTCGCATGGGTTGGTGGCCGCCCCTCGTCGGGTGCGCCGCCGCGGCCTGAGACAGACGCAGCACTCCCGACGAGCCACGGCCAGTGGCAAGCGGATTTCCCTTACGCACGCTTCGCGTCGCCCTGTCTGTGTTCCAGGGGTTTCGGGGGTTCGGTGGTCCCCGGGCTCCACGAAAGCTGCCAAGGGATTGTGGTGTGAAGCGGAAAGCGTAGTTTCTTAGGAGGCTATGCATTCGGGAAACGAGGTTTTCGCGGACACCCATTCTCCTCCTAAATTCCTCCTTCTCTTCTCCTTACCTCAACGCGCGCAGGCCCGGGGGGGTGGTGCCGCGCGTCTCGCGGTCCCTCCCGCCCACCCTGTGTGGCGTGTCGTGCTGGTCGCAATCCGTTTCCCTTCGGGGGGTTGGTGGCCGCCCCTCGTCGGGTGCGCCGCCGTGGCCTGCGACAGACGCAGCACTCCCGACGAGCCACGGCCAGTGGCAAGCGGATTTCCCTTACGCACGCTTCGCGTCGCCCTGTCTGTGTTCCAGGGGTTTCGGGGGTTCGGTGGTCCCCGGGGCTCCACGAAAGCTGCCAAGGGATTGTGGTGTGAAGCGGAAACCCTGCGCTGGCGGGCTGCGGACAGCGACCCGCTGGCGAGCGCGCCCTCCCTGCGGGCGCCTTTGGCTTTTGACCCGCGGGCGCCGCCCAGTCCGCGGGCCTCCGCCGAACCCCACGTCACCACCGCAAATTGCAGGTGGGAGCTCGCGAGGGGAAGGGTCTTGAACGCACCCGCGAAATCCTCCTTGCGAAGCGCGGCTCCGCCAGCGCCCGCGCGGACAACCTTGCACGCCACGGCAACGAAATGGTCCAGCGTGTCGTGCTGGATGGCTTCACCTACTGAAACAGCCGCATTCACACGGGATGCCGTGAAATCGTCGACGCAGCGCACCTTCCGTGAATCCCCTCTCCAGCCCTCGTCGGCTGGAAACCTGGCTGCGAGCACGCATGTGTCACGCAACGGGCGCCACCTTGCGTGGCCATCGCTGGCCTCTTCGATGCATGTCAGTTCAAACGCATCGCGAACGGACTGCTCCACAGCCCGAGGCCGCCTCACACGGCGACGCGTGACAGAGTTCAAAACTGGCGCCTGCGCGCGCAAAGAAACCGCATTTTCAGCGGGAGCAGAGAAAGAGATGCATGGCAGAACCCCGCTGCGCGGAATTTCGCCGATCAGAGGGGAACCACTCTGCAGGTCGCGCGCCAGCCGGTCGGGCCAGCTGATCGCCTCGGGCATCTCCGACAGAACAAGCAAATTTTTCTTCGGACCAGGAACACTGCGGACGTGCGCAGGCAAACCCGCGAATTTGCCCGCCCACAGTGGGTCCAGCACACGCTTGCGCTGCCGCCAGTACTCGAGGCTCGCAGCGCGGGACTCGGCCAACGCATGCCCGTCGAAGGCAAGCACCTGGCAAAGCGAGTCTGCCACAGCTGCAGGGATCTCGGGAAGCTCGTCACAGGACGGAAGACCCAGAGCCCAGTTCAAATGATCGAGCGGCGTGCAGTCACGCACTGCAGGATCGTTCAGGAAGCTATGTACAGCCCTCCGCGCCGCAGCGACACGAGGACAATCGAGGCATGCAAACTGAAAAGGAAGCTCCGCCTCCCCCCGCGGGGCAGAACGGACCGGAGACGCACCAACAGCACCGCCGGCGACAAAAGTGGCCGAAGCGTCGCTGGCAGCACTGCTGTTTCCGCTAACGGAAGCCGCTCACTTCTTCCACGCTTTGGCGCCGCGGTCCTGGCTCTGCCAGCCGCCCTGCCGGCCGCCCTGCTGCTTGCGTGGGCTGCGCGAGCGCGGCGGCGCCAACGGAGACTTGGGCGCAGGGGACTGCGCCGCCGAGCTGGCGGCAGAGCCGTGACCGGAACCGCCCTTCTGAGCGGCGCCGTCGGCTTTCCCCTTGCCCTTGCCCTTGGTGTGGGCGAACTTCGCAGCATCAGAAGCCCTGGCTGTCACCTTGTCCCTGGCCTCCTTGGCCAGGTCCCGGTCGATCCTGGAGAACATCACTTTCCAGTCGGCGTCGCCCTTCTCTAGGCTCTTGGCCATCGCCTTCCGCGCCAAGATGTCGCACTGGTACGCGGTGCGGGCGCCGCCGTGCTCTTCCGCCACCTTGGCCAGCAGGAAGCTGCACCCCAGGATGTCAAGGGGGGTGGCGGTTTTCATGAGGATCAGCTTGACTCCCCAATCAAGCAAATTGGCCTGGAAAATTATACGTCGCAGCACTATGCTGCGCGCGCTCCCGCACGGACGTTGGGCACGACAAACACGTGCAGCTGGCTGGCGCCAACCTGAGAGAGAGAGAGAGCCTCAGGACGCCCAGCCAGCGGAGCGCAACCCAGGGAGGGCGGGCGGGGAAAGAAAACACCCACGCCACAAGGCCCACCCCGCGGTGCCAGCAGACATCCACGGGCAGGACAAGGACGTCCCAGGGAGACTACGGACAGACAGACCGACAGACAGACGACAGACCGACAGACACACAGACGGGACGTACGGACAGACAGACCCACACCCGCCGTCCACAGGACACGGCGCGTTAGCTGACCCACCAGGGCGGGTGAAGTCCGCCACCCCCAGTTGGAGGTATCCAAGCTTCGTGCGTTCTGCTGGGAGCTCAAGGCCATCAGGCTAGGAGGTGTGTGGCACCGCAAGCTCTTGAAATTTTCCTGCCCTCCAAACCGCTGCGCGATTTGAGGGCTAAGAAAATTATACGTCGCAGCACTATGCTGCGTGCGCTCCCGCACGGACGTTGGGCACGACAAACACGTGCAGCTGGCTGGCGCCAACCTGAGAGAGAGAGCCTCAGGACGCCCAATGCACGCAGGTGGGGCCGGGCAGCTGCGCGAAGCGAAATGCTTTTGCAACAGCAGGAACACCCAATGCACGCAAGAGTTTTTCACTCGCCTGCCCCGGACGACTCTGAGTGCTCAACCAGAAACTCGGCCTCAGCTACCGAGCCCCGCTCTTTGGCGGAAGTATACGCAAACGCAGTAAGCCCTCGCCAACCGCCTGAGTAGAACAGTGCTGTTGGACCGTTAGCACGAAGGCACTCCGTGGCCCAACCTCTACGAAAGGCATGCGTGCCCCACGCCGCCGCATCAGCGAAGCCGCAGCCTTGAGCAGCGAGCTT